GTTTGGGCTGTCTATTTCATTGTCCAGCTTGCTGTATTTGACGGTTCCATGATTGGTGGGTACTCGCGCAGGGCTTTTGTCTAAAAGCGGCTGAACACAATTCGATCCGTTAGAAAAACACAGAATTCCACCACAGATTGAATAATAAATAAGACATTTGCTGCAAGAAACTTGTTGCAAATATGTGTAAAATTTTCCCCGGGAACAAAAAAGCCGAGCAAGCCCGGCCCTGCGTCCTCGAAGACATAACTTCAAGGACTCGGGGCAGGGACTGAGGGCGGACATGTCCGCCTTCTTCCGTGGGGAGTACGGGCCGGCTTATTTTCACGGAAGTAAGTCGGCCCCCGCGTGGATAGCCACATTTGGGGAGGCGTCTTCCTTTGGAGTTTGACGCCGGGCCACACGGGAGGCTTGGTCAGAGAGCCAAGTCCCCTATTGCACGTGGCCCTGCATACCCGACGAGGTAGAGGTGTGGCCCTCCATCTCGTCGTGGACGAGAGTGGAACACCGCTCATTTGAGCGCAAGGCGCATGTACCGCCTGGTAGGTAGGGGGGGAACCGCGATGAGTTCCGACACGGAGGTACCAGGTCCCCTCCTCAGACCGCGCGAAGTTAGGCCACGCAAAAGGTTTTTAGTTGGTATATCCTCTCCGACTTGCGGGCCGGAGAGGGGAGTCCCACATACCCCACCTTTCCCTGAGGATGGGGATGCGTAAAGCATTTTCCTCTTGTAAAAAAAAAGAAAAGGTTATAACCCGGGTGGGCACAAACTGTGTCGTTGGCAGGATTACGAGACTGGGCCTCAAGGTGGCCATCTACAAGACAAAGGCCATGTATGGCCCCCGGGGACGTCCGCCGCGGGGACTCAGTCTCAGCGTAAGTGAGGCACGGGTCGAGGTGGGTACTTACTTTAAGTACCTAGGTCTATATCTCGACCCGAAATGGCGCTTCGAAGAGCACTTTGCCCGCCTGGCCCCCAGAGTTCGGAGGCCATGTATGGCCCCCGGACTTCTCATTTAAGTGTCACCAGGTATGTTTGTTTCCGGTTTTGCGACGTGCGGACGAGCATTGTCGTGCAGCAAAATGACTTTGTCGTGTCTTTTAGAGTATTTCGGCCGTTTTTCTTTTAATGGACGGCTCAAGCGCATCAATTGTAGTCGGTAGCGATCCCTAGTTATGGTTTCATTCTGTTTCAGCAGTTCATAATAAATCACACCCCTCTGATTCCACCAAATACAGAGCAGGAGCTTAGACCCATGGATATTCGGCTTTGCCACTGATGTTGATGGTTGGCCGTTGGTGGTTTGATCACTTCCGACCAGTGATGAAAGATCGAGCCGGCTAGCACCGAGAGCACCGAGGTAGTGGGAAGTGGCTCCCACTACCTCGGTGCTCTCGGTGCTAGCCGGCTCGATCTTTCATCACTGCTTCCGACACGTTTGCTCAGCTAGAGCATGTTCACCATACACTTCCACTAAAATACGATGAGATTCAGCAGAACTTTTGTTTATATTAAAGTAATGAAGTAAATCTCCGCGCAAAAGCACTTTATTCGGCACAAATTTTGACATTCAATAAATTATAAAATGTTGTTATTTACGATTCAAAAAAAGGTTATGTAAAGCAAATGACGTCCACTGACAGCTGTTTCACGATGAACATTACTGTAGGTAACAACAAAATACTGTACTACCTACGTCATGTCTTGTAAAAAGTTACAAATTAATTCCAACACCTAATACTTACTAAAATAAAGCAAAACAACACTTTGTGTTTGTGCTACGCGCAAACTTCTGATCGTTATACTGTATGTTAATAAACTCAAAATAAAACTATAATATTTAATAAACGCAATTGAGTACTTGCCAGTTGACACCTTAAGATCCTGACGATTTCACGTTTTTTCCAACCGACGTTGTCCCTCCGGAGCTACTCGTTCCTCAGTTTGTTGTGTCTGATCCTCATTCAGCACCTGTAACAGCTGCTCCGTCGTTTGGACTTCCAGATCCAGTCGTGTGTTCCGTTCCTCCTGGGGTTCGAGTGACAAGGTTAGGTGTCAGAACAAGGCGCAACCGCCGCAACCAGGCTCTTTGGCGCAGAGATGCTGCCAGCTAAAACAATCAACAGACCACCAAAACTAACAATAAGCCGAAAACATCAACAGACAGCGATTATCAAAAATTACACCAGACACATTGGGCGTGTTCCGTTTGACCACAGTACGATTCGACACCGATCGATTCGACACCAAATTATTGGACACAAAATTATTGAACACAGATTTATTCAACACCAAATTATTCGACACCGTACGATTCGACACGAAATTATTCGACACCGTACGATTCGACACCAAATTATTCGACACC